GCTTGTCAAACTGTAGTATGCTTGTAGGCTGTAGTGGGGTAGCCAATATGGGGTACAACCCCAACTAGGGTTTCATATTTGTACCCAAAACTTCTGCTAGTTCATCATTCTTGCCTAGTGATTCTGACATTGCTCTCCCCCACTTTGCCTATGGGGGTGTGTCAAACATTATATATGTTGTGTTTGTTTAGGCTACAGTGGGTTAGCCTATAGGGGGTACACAATTCTAGGGTTAGGTACTTGTACTGATTTCACTGTTAGTTCAATCATTCCTGTCCGTTCATTCTGACAAATTTATAAGCGCCGGCGTTTATAAAACGACATATATATTTTATATATTTTTTAACACCAAGCTGTAGATCTCGTGCTTGCCTTTTTCAATCGAGTCGAAGTTACATGGGGTCGTCTGTGAAATTCTCGCGCGCGCTGGGAGATACACTCAATCTGACAGCTCCTGACAGCTTCTGACAGCTCCTGCTGACTTGACCCGCATCCAGTGCAAGGTCCGAAAGTGAAGGGAACCGAATCTGCAACACATCCGCCTGCTAAAGTAAAAATCGTTACAGCGTTTTGAACACATTTTAAATTTTAAAGTTTACGTGCGCTTATAACAGGCCCTCAGATTCGTTTTTGGCCTGTCTGATTCGTCAGACTAGTACACAATTTTAGTCTGAAAATCTCAGACTTGGTATAAAAAAAAGGCTGAAATGTCAGAGTGTCTTTAAAAAAAAGTTTGATCATTCAAAATCAATGTATTCAATGTTTCATCGGAAGTGTATTCAATGTTTCATTCATTTGCTACCAAAACATGCTACACTAAGGGGATTTTCGATAAAACATGCTCTGACAGGGCGAATATATGTGTCAGGGCGAATATATGTGGTGCGAAAAGGCGAATGTGCAATGTCAGGGCGATTTTGCTGTGATTGGCTGAAAATTGAAGTGCTCTGACAACGCAAATCTGTTGTGTCAGGGCGATTTTGCTATGATTGGGCGAAAATCTTGTGATGTAAGGCTCGGATTTTCTGTGTCAAGGCGATTTTGCGTTGGCAGTGCAAATCCGCTGTGACCCGTAAGTTCGAATCACCAGTCAAGGACGCGTTTGTACTCTGAATGATCAGAGTACACTCTCAGAAAACTCTGAACTCTCAGAGTTAGCCTTAAAAAAAGTCTGAAAATTACAGAGTTGAGGCCCAAAAAAGTCTGATTTTATCAGAGTACACAGGAAAAAAAATCTGAAATATCAGAGAAAAAAGTCCAAATCAGAGAAAAAAGTGTGACTTTTGAGGGCCTGGCTTATAATAAAACAAGTTTTTTCAGGGGGTGCGCTTATAATCGAGCAGCGGATATAAGCGCCATGCGCCAATTAAAAGCGCCAGGCGCTTATCCGAGGGTGGCGCTTATATCCGGGGTATGACTGTCAGAAGTAGTAGGCAAAGTTTAGAAACAGAAAGAGGGTTTGAACTAGCAGGCAGTTGAGTACAAATAGCAAACCCTAGATTGGGCTGTACTCGCTATAGAGTACCTCACTGCAGGCTAGACAATATAACATTCTGACACACCCCCATAGCCAAAGTGGGGTGTAATCAGCACAACAAGCAGTCACAATAGCAATAGTTCATAAATTATGAGCAAAGGTAGAGGCAGTCACTGAGGGCAAGTGAGGAGGAGGAGGGCTGGCGAGAGGAGAGTAGATGGGAGGCGACGACTGAAGCTGCAGACACACGGGCAACAGACGGCTCTGGTGCAACGCTAGTGGCTACCGGGAGCAAGTGCCCCGGAATACAGGAGTAACTGGCTCTGCGTCTGATCAGCAGCGACAGGAGCAACGGACCCACGGGCGACAGGTGCAACCGGCTCTCTGAGCTACCGGTGGCTATCAGAACCCCGGAATACAGGCGCTGCGGACGACACGACGGCAACCTCCACTCAATCTCCCCCAACAGTCCCACACCCCTCGACACACACCCCCTGCTGCGCCCCTAGCTCCACTCCCCCTTCACCCCCCTAGCACCACTCCTTCGGCTCCCCACACAACCACCCCCCTGAGCGGCAGCTGCAGCAGCGGGAGACGAAGGAGGAGGAGGAGGAGGGGACGGGGCACACAACCGGCACCCCCACAACCGCCACCCCCACACTCCCCACCCCCAAACCCTAAAACGGGGGAAGGAGCGCGGGGGATGGCGAGGGGGACGGCGCGCGGCCCCCAGGGCGCCACCACGGGGCAGCGAGGGGCCGCGCGCGGCTCCCCAGGGCGCCGCGAAGGGGCAGCGGGGGGTCGCGCGCGGCTCCCCAGGGCGGCGCGACGGGGAATCGGGAGCCGCGCGCGGCTCCAGCTGGTCGACGCGACTGTCGACGGGGCAGCGGGGGGTCGCGCGCGGCTCCCCAGGGCGGCGCGACGGGGTGGCGGGGCGACGCGACCACCGATAGGAAACCGCCGCGCGCCCCGAGCGCACGGCGGGATGAAAACCCTAAAAAATTTCGCCGCGCGCGGAGCGCGCGGCAGGAAGAAGACGACGCACGCCCGAGGCGCGCGAGAAGCATAACAGCAGCGGAAGCAGTTAGGTGGTGGGCCCACCCACAGGATCGACCCAAGGGGGTCGACCTGCTCTGATAGCATGTCAGAAGTAGTAGGCAAAGTTTAGAAACAGAAAGAGGGTTTGAACTAGCAGGCAGTTGAGTACAAATAGCAAACCCTAGATTGGGCTGTACTCGCTATAGAGTACCCCACTGCAGGCTAGACAATAACATTCTGACAATGACGGTACAACGGAGCAACGGCGAGTCAACCAAGGAGGTTAACTGAAAGGAACAGCTGGAGGTTACGCAAAGGTCGAAGGTCTCGACAAAAGGCAGCGCGACAGCAAGGACAAACAACTAACTCAGTATTGAGCAGCTCCCCGAGACGTCGCTGTATCAAACCGCAAGTACGGTAGCAGTAAAACAGTTAGTTGTACTTTTCCATATTCCTTGTAATCCTATAAAAGCTTTGTATTACCTTGTTATAATCAATCTATCTTGCTCTCACAACAGTTTCATTAAAACGTTCCCGCAACCACAACATTCCTACTCAGGGTCTTAGTGTTGAAAGATCCTAAGGGCTTTTCTCAGCCCAACATGGTATGAGAGCTACAAGGCAAGATCCAACTTCATTCAAACTCATATAACAACAGAAGGCATGGCAACACAGAAGGAGAGAAGCTCCTCTAACGGATCTCCTGGCACTGCTCCTACTCCACCTCCAGCCCCTAGCCTACAGACAGAGGGAGGTACGTCGACAAGACCAGCTGCTCAGTCTACTGAAACTCATGCAAACCAGGCGACCGGCTTCGACCCAAGCATGATAAAGAATTTGTTCTCCTTCATGTCATTCTACGAACAACACCAGCAAGCAACACCTGCGCAATCAAACAACAGCGACAACAACAATGGCGTCATACCCATAAGTCTTGATGGGGCATCCTGCGCGCGCGGAAATCAGCAGCAACCTACCTTTGCTCCATTCGAGCCTCAACGCGGCTCCATCAGCTTCATGCCACACCAGCCTCTACCTGGACACGAGAAAACATTGGACGTGCTTCATATACAGTCGCAGTTCGCACACGCTCTGAAACGACAGACATCAACACCGCTCGACGGCAAAGACTTTTTATACGTGGTCATTTGAGTTCGAGCTGATGATGGAGGGCGCACAGATTCTTGGATTCTTCGTCGGGTCCCTGCCATACCCAACACATGGGACACAGTATGACAAGCAGCAGTACATGTATCACTCGCTGATGGTGTATACGATGCTCCTACAAAACATAACGCCGAACGAGCAGCATAACATCTGGTCTTATCGTGGATGCGACAACTCCGCAGAGCTCGCGTACAACCACTTGAACAACCTGTATCAAGCAACAGACAACATCAATCAGAGTCGCCTCATGGCACAACTAACAACAGTGGAAATGAAACCAGGTAAAAAGGGAATGGCATATATCAGCCGCTGTCGCGGACTGCGCGACAGACTCCTTCGATGCGGAGGATCGATATCCGAAGAAGCCTTCGTCACAGTCGTCATCACTGGCCTCGGTCCTCGAGCTATTCTTCAAGCCCACGGAAAAATCTCCGAAGCTGCCCTCTGCGCCGAAATCCATGCCGAACAGCAGGACATGGATCTGCACGAAGAGCGCCAAAAAAAAAAAAAAAAATCGACGTTAACGTCGGAAGGGTTGCGTAGGACTTCCATATCGTGCTAGCTTGATATTATAACTATGGTATAACAGAGAAATGACGAACTATGTCTCTTTATAACATGCATTTTAAGTTGCTCATCTTGTTATTCCTCATGGTAAATATATCTTACCGTTGATTGTTGTTAATGGGAAAATTTTAGAGAATATAACTTTATTTGTTTGACTAAGCAATATTGTTTTCTAGTGAGTTTGTGTATTTGCAGTCAAATCTTATGTGTCACTAACAGCTGAAACTAATCATACAACTTTCTTGATTTTGGCGAGTATAACGGAACTGGTGTGTTTCGATTGTGAAACTGGTTCGTGCCTCGTTGGCATAAAATTTCTTGCCAGCGCTACACAGACCCAACCAAACCCAAGAAACCAACCGCACAATTCAACCACCTGCTCGACTCTCATCTCCCTTTTCTTCCAACCCCAAATGCTGTACCTTCACAACCCCGTCGCCATTTACTACCTAAAGCGTTTTTAGAACCACCTTCCCGTCACCTCTCCCTCACCCGCCGTCGCCTCTCCTCACCTCCTCCTCGTCTTTCCCTCCCTTCCCGCCGTCGCCTTGGTGGCTTGCTGCATGACCACGCGTTGTTTTCTTAGGCACGGTTGTGTCAGGTGCGTTTTTCCTTCTCTCTTCGAAATGTCCTATTTTTTCCACTTACCTCGTAAGTTTTCAATGCCGATTGGTCTCCTCTTAGCATTGTGCCTCCATTTTAAGAAGGGGAGAGAGGGTGTGTGAGGGAGTGTGTGCGCACAGGAGCGAGCATGCAGGCACATAGCGCGCTAGCGCATAGTGCGCTGGCGCATAGCGCGCTGGCGCCTAACGCGCTGGCGCCTAACGCGCTGGCGCCTAACGCGCTGGCGCCTAACGCGCTGGCGCCTAACGCGCTGGCGCCAAACGCGCTGGCGCCTAACGCGCTGGCGCCTAACACGCTGGCGCCAAACGCGCTGGCGCCTAGCGCGCTGGCGCCTAGCGCGCTGGCGTTTGCTGCGCTGGCGCCAAACGCGCTGGCGCCTAACACGCTGGCGCCAAACGCGCTGGCGCCTAGCGCGCTGGCGCCTAACGCGCTAGCGCCTAGCGCGCTGGCGTTTGCTGCGCTGGCGCCAAACGCGCTGGCGCCTAACACGCTGGCGCCAAACGCGCTGGCGCCTAGCGCGCTGGCGCCTAACGCGCTAGCGCCTCACGCGCTGGTTCTTAGCGCGCTGGCGCCTAGTGCACTGGCGCCTAACGCGCTAGCGCCTAGCGCGCTGGCGTTTGCTGCGCTGGCGCCTAACGCGCTGGCGGATAGTGCGCTGGCGCCTAACGCGCTAGCGCCTAGCGCGCTGGCGCATAGCGCGCTGGTTCTTAGCGCGCTGGCGCCTAATTCGCTGGCGCCTAACGCGCTGGCGTCTAGCGCGCTGGCGCCAAACGCGCTGGCGCCTAACGCGCTGGCGCCTAACGCGCTGGCGCCTTATGTTTGGCGCCTTGCAGGTGCCCTCGCGGCTCACTGGCACGTTGTAGCGTGCTGGCGGCTTGTGCGCTGCTGCCTAATTTGCGGCGCTGGCAAATTCCTGCGGCAGCCTTGTAGCAGCAGTGCGCTGTCAAATCGTTGCGCACGCTCACGCCTTGCTGCAGTGAGCTCACGCGTTGCTGCAGTGAGCTCACGCGTTGCTGCAGTGAGCTCACGCGTTGCTGCAGTGAGCTCACGCGTTGCTGCAGTGAGCTCACGCGTTGCTGCAGTGAGCTCACGCCTTGCTGCAGTGAGCTCACGCCTTGCTGCAGTGAGCTCACGCCTTGCTGCAGTGAGCTCACGCGTTGCTGCAGTGAGCTCACGCCTTGCTGCAGTGAGCTCACGCCTTGCTGCAGTGAGCTCACGCGTTGCTACGGCAGCCCGCTTGCTCCTCTGCCGGTGCCTTGCTGCAACTCTCTAGCGCCTTGTAGCATGGCGATGCCCAGCTCGTTGCACCAATGCACCTTTCTCGCTGGAGCCACCAGCATGGTGTGCTTGACCCCAGGGGATCTATGCCTCAAACCACGCTTGTGAGTCCTCAAATTCGGTTTCCTTTTGTACGTATCATATTTCAACCCATACTTGCTTTTCAAGTTCTATTTCACAATCAAGTGCATGCTCGTCATTGAAATTCACTCCGTTTTCCGACTACAATTCGTTTTCTACTTGACCTGTTTGTTTTGCAAGGTGTGCGAGACGCGTTGTGGGGAGCAGGGAGGGGAATCCGAGAGAGAGGACAATGTGGAAAAGGGTGGAAGGAGGTTTTGATGGCGGAGGGAGAGGAATGCAGGTGGAAAGGGGGAGGAATTGGGGACATGTAGCAGTGATTGATACGTAATTAGCTTATTGCAAATCTTTGTTATGCTTGTCTGCTCTCAATCCTATTTGTGTGTGTATGTGTGTGCTGTGCGGGTGTGTTTCTGCGGGTGTGTGTTCTTGTTTTCTCGTGTTTGTTTCACTGTGGGGTTGCATTTCTATGCGTTTGGTATTAGGCTGTATCCTACACTGAGGAATTAAGATAAAGGTGTACCTGTAACACTGAACAGTAGCACAGAAATGTCTTATAACAAGAAAATCACGTATTTAGAAAGCTTGCTTTCTTGCATGTAGCAATTGGCATCGTCTCATTTCAAATGGGTTTAGTACAATTGAAATCTAAGCAGTGACATTACAACAATATGCCTCTACGTTATCAACGCTATCCTGCTTTCGAGGGGGGGTGGGTGGGAAAATCGGCTAAACCGTTTGAAAATGAGAGACGTGGGTGGAGGGAAATGACCTCCAGCCCACGTTTTGTACTCCAAAACGGGCGTTTAGCGCGGCTCGACGCTGCCAAATCCTACATTACAGGCAGCTTCGCTTTCGAAATACATAATTTTAAAAAGCATTACAGCTTTTAAAAATATACATATTTAGAAAGCTTGCTTTCTTGCATGTAGCAATTGGCATCGTCTCATTTCAAATGGGTCTTCTGAGACATGTGTCGTGCTGGTTGGCGATGTCGTGTCAGCGCCGCGGAGTGTTGCAATGGTGACGAGGCTCTCGTCGGATCTTGGACATGTCGAGATGCTCCAACCAACTGGTCTATTGCCGGAGTGATGTACATCTCTTTAGCCGTATCGCTGCGCCACCTCCCCAGCTGTTTCAATATGCGGTCTGGTACTCCTCCGTTGGCGGCGACGGTTGCTGCGCCTTTGCGAAAGGAGTGGGTGCCGAGGTGCTCGAGTCCTAATCCGATCTTTTGGAATGCCTCCTTGCACCAGTTGCGAATCGTTGTGTAGGAGGGTGGTGTTGTCGGATTACCGCGACCCATGGTGTCTGAACCGAAGACTCGTATCAGTGGACCTTCTTGTGCACGGCCGTAGCCTGCCAACTGGATGAAGCGTTTAGTGCACTGCACGGGGCAAAAAGGGCCCGAAGTTGCGGCTACGGGAACCCATGCACCGTCTCCTGCCTGGTCTGTTTTGGAGCGGGGAATCAGGAGCCACATGACGTCTTGCTCGAACTCAATCTCGTGCCAGTTAAGTGCGGCGAGGTCTGAGTATCGCAGGAAGCCGGAGTACATGAGTAACGGAATGAGCCCCTTCTGAAACTCGCCAGGCTTGTTCGATTCCAGGAATTCCGCCGCCATAGCGTGTACTTGATGCAGAGAGACGGGTTCCTTGAGACGCTGGGGCCGCGGGCAATGTCGCTTGGCGAAGTCTCGCACATTGGATGTGAATGGCCCAGTCGACGGGCACGTGGCCCCAATCATCCGATGCGCGAAGCTGACTGCCGAGCATGTCAGTTGTACTGCCGATATGGTGGCCTTCTGTTGAATCGCGTGGACCAGGTATAATGCGAGTGTCATGTCTGTGCATGGCAGGAACTGCAATTTGACGTGTGTGCAGAATGCACGAAACTTGGCCCAGTATGGTTCGTAGGTGCGAATCGTCGAGTCAGCCCTCGTACGCGTGGTTATCCGAAGAAGTTCTTGCTTGAGCCTCTCGAGCAATCCTGCACCAGATGTGTGAATGGTCAGGTGGCGAAGGACACTCGTAATGCAATAATCGGGCTGTGAGGCAATCCTTCCCCAGAAAAGGCGCGGGTGTGGGTGCCTGCGGACAGGCATTGGCTCCCGTGGGTGAGGCGGATGTGGGTGAGAATGCAGGCAGCCCATTGGGGCGGAGCGGGTTGGAGTAACGGCCACCAGCTTGCCCCTGGCCAGTGGGGCACGACGAGCGTGAGCGATGCTCGCGTCCTTTGGGCGTGATGCAGCACCGCTGGGATGAGGTGGGGTGGCGGAAAGGCGTATGCATGCTCGGAGGCCCATGATAGGGAGAAGGCATCGGTTGCCTCTGCGTCGGGATGAGGGGTTTTGGAGCAGAAGCGAGCCAGCTGGGTGTTGTTTGCATTGGCAAATAGATCGATAGAGTGCGGTCCCAAGCGCCGTTCAAGAACCCGGAACCATGGTGCTTTGAGTGCGTAGTCGTCTCGATCGATGATCTTTGAAAGTTCATCAGCTCGTGTGTTGAGTTCGCGCGGAATCCATTCGACCGTCAGCCGAATCCCGGAGGCAACGCACGCTTGAATAATGGCTCTGCACGTGGTTGTGAGGCTCGGAGTCCGCGAACCACCTTTGCGAAGGATAAAGAAGACACCTTGGTTGTCGGTTCTGGCGAGGACATGTCGGTTCTGGATCCTTCCCGAGAATGTCTGCAGCGCCCATAGGACTCCATCCATTTCTCGTTGCGTGCTGGAGGCTTTCGTGAGGTGCACGGGCATGGTTGCGCTCGCCTCAATTCGCCGTCCTGGGAACGTATCTAGTGTCGCTCCCCAACTGTGTGCGCTGGCGTCCACATGGATCAATGCATCGTAGCTGTTTGGGACGTGGAACGGGGCGCCATTGAACTTGTCAAATTCATGCAGCCAAAACTCGAGCTCTTCAATGACCGCAGGGACCAACTGCACTCTGCTGTTCCAGGAAGGGGCATCTTGAATGGTCTGTAATAGGTTCTGGCTGAATGCCCGTGCGGTTGCGCCGATGGCAAGTGACATCGACGCGAGCATGCCGGTAACTCTGGCGACGTGTCGGATCGGGACTTTGCGTTCGGCCTTGCCGGCCATGCATAATTCATGAATGGTTGAGCGTAATGATGCTCGCCGCTCGGGGCCAATGGAGAACTGGCCGCGTTGTGTATCCAACTCGACACCCAAGAACCGCAGTTGCTGGGTGGGTTGCAGGTGCGACTTCTTAGAATTGATAACCAGTCCAGCCTTCCTGAGGTCTTGCACCACCATCTGACCCGTGGTTCTCGCTTCGGCTGCCGTGCGACACAGAAAGAGGATGTCGTCGACGTAAGGGATGACTCGCACCCCAAGCGCCCGCCAACGGCGGGCAAGCTGCTTGATGAGCTGCGTGAAAACGAACGGGGCTGTCGCCAGACCAAATGGTAGAGACTGAAAAACGTACGAGCGCCCGTCGAATTGGAACCCGAGGAACTTCCAGCATGAAGGGTGGATGTCGACGTGGTGGTATCCCGATTTTAAATCGACTGCGAACATCCAGTCGTCTTCGTGAACGAGCTCCGCCACCCGGTTCAGTCCTTCGTACTTGAATTTGGGGATACACAGATGTTGGTTCACCCTTCGGAGGTCAAGAATCAGTCGGCACTTTTCTCTTTGAACCACGACATTCAGCGGGCTGATACATAGCTGTTGCTCCGCTGGGGCGGGAGCGGCCGCACCACTCTCGAGAAGCTCGGTTATTGCTTGCTTGGTGAACGTGGAATGAATTAGCGCTCCCGCGTGGTTGTCCTGCCGGAACGGCGTAGGTGGGCCCTGCTTCCATGGCATCCAATAGCCGTTGGAGATTACCGAGAGTATGAAGCTACTCTCACACCATGAGCTCCACCATGGAAATGTCGTGCGCAGGCGCCCACGCATGGTCGTGACGACCTTGTCAGTGATTGCAAACTCGTAGGGGCCACTCCCCTCGATCGTTCCACCCCCCGGCATATCTGTGGCCATTGGACCATAGGGTGTGGGGGCAACACGGGGCATGCCTCGTTAAACCCAAGACCCAAATTACACAAGGAAGTCGACCGGGAATGGTAGGTTCAGACAAAAGCCCAGGCAGTAGGTTTGGTTGGAAGCTCGGAAGCCAATCCTGGCGAAAACCAAGTGAATATTTGGACCAATCGCGTGAGAGTGGTGATACTTGCCACCCGACTCGGTGAATCTGGCCTTAGTCTTTGAGCAAGGCGTTCTCTCTCTCTCTCTCTCTCTCTCTCTCTCTCTCTCTCTCTCTCTCTCTCTCTCTCTTTCTCTCTCTCTCTCTCTCTCTCTCTCTTTCTCTCTCTCTCTCTCTCTCTCTCTCTCTCTCTCTCTCTCTCTCTCTCTCTCTCTCTCTCTCTCTCTCCTTTTTTTTTTTTTTTTTTTTTTCGCGTACTCTTTGAATGGGCATTTGCCGCCTTCCATGATTGGCAGGCCACCTCTGTCTTGCATTATGGCGTGAGCCCGTGGTATTGTGGGACCCCAAGTCCCACACAATCTCGTTTCCTTTTGCCCCCCCTTCGCACATGATTCCTTTGTGTTGTATGGGTGCATAGCCCAAACATCTTATCACTTTCCCTTTTTTACACTCTCTATCTCTCTCCTTCTCTCGCTCTCTAGTTCGCGTGTACCGTAGGCCACCATGCCATGCGGGTATTTATTGTTTCAGGTCCATACATCAAGAACGCATGCTCCTTTTTTTTTTTTTTTTTTTTTTTTTCAAGCAAGTCCAACAACTTCGCCCATTAGGCCTTTCCACTCATTCATAAGAGCATACAAGCATTATTTCCAATCCCATGTTCACCTAGGACTCCTAGTCCTACACCCCTTGCCTTGGGGTAGGCCCGCGGCCTTTCTCACATCCCCTATGGGATAGGCCAGCGGCCT